GCGATAAAGCGATAAAGCAATAAAGCAAGAAAGCGATAGAGCGATAAAGCGATAGAGCGAGAAAGCGATAAAGCGATAGAGCGAGAAAGCGATAAAGCCATAAAGCGAAAGAGCGAGAAAGCGAGAAAGCGAGAAAGCGATAGAGCGAGAAAGCGATATTTCCCATAATGCCGTACATTAAAACGTTTTTTGCTGATATTTAGTGATCCATTCCTGTAATTCTCACCGCTATTTTGCCTCTTATGATAAGATTTTTTAAACATCTGGTAGTAGATAGATATGTTACAAAATACACACGTAATTTTTTCTCGTTTAGCTTGTATATTTTCTTGTAGTGTAATAAATAAGCAAGATTCACAGAATACAGATAGTCACTGTTCATATTTTCATTTTGTTCATAGTATTGACAAATAATTGTCAGTTTTATTAGCCAGTTTGTATTGTTTGCAACGTTCAAAGAGATTTTTTTCTCGGTCATTAGAGTTGGAATTGAAGCCGAATATGTGCTCGTCCGATTTCGGGATCACAATTATGTTCATTAAGTTGCATGTACATTATGCATACATGTACACAGTTATGTTTCCCTTACAACATACAGATGAATTAGATATATGTCTCTACCTTAAGTCACATATACGACTTTCGAGAGCGTAATTAACCCGTAACCCCATTCCTTGGACAATAGAAATGAAATGCGTTGTAAATATTTTTTAAAAACAACTCGTTTCTTAAAATGACTTTCGATCAAACTGCCTTCGGGAATTAAATTTAATGCTAAAGTGCTTGTAAAATATAGTTTAACTTTCCCGCCAGGAGAGACTGGATATCCAATTATGGTATAGGCTCAGGCAGGAATATGCATATTTATGTAGCAATTCACTATCCATTTAAACTGTATGGTTAACAATTGTGCGTTCTGATGTGAGTTATGTAGTTATCTACTACCTTTTTACACAGACAATGAGTCGGACACACACACACACACACACACACACACACACACACACACACACACACACACAGGTACACATATCAACTGTGGTAACGCCACAGCGATGAGGGCAGTGGGGTAGCCAGTGGGGTTAAAGCGTTTGTTCGTCAAGCCGAAGACCCAGTTCGATTCCCCACATGGGTACAATGTGTGAAGCCCATTTCTGGTCCTCCCCGTGATATTACTTGATTATTGTTAAAAGCGACGTGAAACCATCTCACTCACTCACTCATAGCGGTGTATATCAAATTACTATTTGCAAGTACATATATTTGTAGATTTGCACAAGACAAGAAACACAATTGAAGTTAAACATACATCAAATGTCAAAAAGAACATTTACGGACAACCTTATGACACACTGTAACAAGTTATAGAACACCCACAATTATAAGATTGTATTTTTGCAAAACAATCAGCCATGACTAACTAACCATAGTCTTCTTAACTTCTTTTGAAAAGTAAATATTTAGATTTTAACCTGATTTATTTAGAGCGTATTGCCATGATCTGCCACGCGCTTTCGGCGTGGTGGTCACATACAACTGAATAGGGCCATAAATAAATCAATTACATTTTACGCACAAAAAGGTGGATTCCCAATTGCAGCAGATATCACATGCGGCCCCTATAGTGGTCAAGAGGGGATATTGCTTAACCGCGATAGAGCGAGAAAGCGAGAAATGGGTAGAGCGAGAAAGCGAAAGAGCGAGAAAGCGATAGAGCGAGAAAGCGATGTCCCCTCTCGGCCACCATACGTTTGTTGTTTTATGCTGCATTCATTAACATGAATACCCCACTCAGAGACCGCCTCCGTGGTCTTGTGGTAGAGCGTCCGCCCGGAGAGCGGAAGGTCCAGGGTTCGATCCCGGGCCGCGTCATACAAAAAGACGTTAAAAGATTGTACTTGTTGTTACCCTGTCTGGCGCTCGGCATTAAGGGGCTAAAACAAGGACTGGTCGGCTCGGAGTCAGTATACTGTGTCTGAGTGGGGTATTCATGTTAAACTGCGGCATGGTATCTCAGTGAGCTAGCACTATAAATCGGCATCAGTCCGGACTAGTACAAGCAGCCACACACACACATACACGTGCATGCACGTCGCTATATAAGTGCAATAATCTTGGACGCGACGTTAAACACAATTTCACCTCACCTCACCCCACTCAGACACAGTATGCTGACTCCGAGACATGATGTTTTAACGTCTTTGGTATCACGCAGCCAGGGATCGAACCCCGGACCTTCCGCTCTCCGGGCGGACGCTCTACCACTAGACCACGAAGGCGGTCACGTACTGCAGGAACCCTCATGATAGGCATGCAGAGTGAGTGAAACATCAAACACCCGCGTAACAGCGTGAGAGAGTGAGTTGGGTTTAATGCCACGGGTGTAACTCTGCACGGCGAAATATTTGACCTCAGACGACTGAGCCACCCTTTACCCCCTCATACAGTGGATTGACGTGCGACATAAATATCACACGGACCATTGCTATGCTGGTCTGCTCGCTCCCGGCACCATGGACAAACATACGTATTGATCTGCCTCTATATCGCACAGACCCGTGTAGATCCGGGGTAGAATAGGTCTCCAGGAACCCATGCTTGCCGTACAAGGCGACTAGGCTTGTCGTAAGAGGCAACGACGGGATCGGGTGGTCAGGCTCGCTGACTTGGTTGATTCATGTCATCGTATCCCAATTGTGTGGATCGATGCTCATGATGTCAATCACTTGATTGTCTGATCCAGACTCGAGTATTTACAGACCACCCCCATATTGCTGGAATATTGCTGAGTGCGTCGTTAAACCCAAACACAAACAAACAAACAACTATATCGTACCTCAGCATGTTTGCGACAAGGACACTGGTGGAACTTACCTTGCGTGATGGTGGTCCTCGTTCCAGATGAGCTGTGGGACAAAGGACATGAGTATTTTATAGCCTGATGGTGTGCCATTAAGTTGAAGGTGTGACCAGGATGTGGCGCTGTCGAGTTCGTGCATATACTCGGAACCTACTGGAGTAAAATGAAGCAACACATCCGATTTCACATCACGGCAACAGGTGCACCATGGACAGACATCTCTCTTTCATCAGCTCTGCAATTGTTAAACAATCAATATCGTTTCGAATTAAATTGCTGTCCAGACTAAAACGATATCAACCAGAAACAAATTGAGTGAGCATTGTTTGACTCAGCTTTTCGTAATATTAGAGCGATATCACGGCGGAGGACACCAGAAATGGGCTTCACACATTGTACCCATGTCAGGAATCAAACCCGGGTCTTCGGCGTGACGAGCGAACGCTTTAAACACAAGGCTGCCCGACCGCACAATAGAAAGAAAAGGAAACAAGTCATATGAATTATTGCAGAAATGTCAGCGCAATATCCATCCAACTGACTGAAAAAGATTTTAAAGAACCAAAATTTTAATTTGTTTTCCATTTGTGTGTGGAATTAAAGTTGCCTTCCTAAGGTAGAAAACAAAAGGGCTTCAACTGTGTCGAGCTGTAAATGTGTATAGCGTATGTATAGTCCATCTTTGCATCGACCCTCACCTAGCTTCATCAGGGAGGAAGTAAGGGGTACAGCAAGGAGGCTATAGATCAGTGAGGAAGTATGTGGTACAGGAATGAGGCTATAGATCAGTGAGCAAGTAAGTGTTACGGCAATGAGGCTATAGATCAGTGAGGAAGTAAGTGTTACGGCAATGAGGCTATAGATCAGTGAGGAAGTAAGGTGTACAGCAATGAGGCTATAGATCAGGGAGGAAGTATGTGGTACAGCAATGAGGCTATAGATCAGTGAGGAAGTAAGTGTTACAGCAATGAGGCTATAGATCAGTGAGGAAGTAAGTGTTACGGCAATGAGGCTATAGATCAGTGAGGAAGTAAGTGGTAGAGCAATGAGGCTATAGATTTGTGAGGAAGTAAGCGGTACAGCAATAAGGCTATAGATCAGTGAGGAAGTAAGTGTTACGGCAATGAGGCTGTAGATCAGTGAGGAAGTAAGTGTAACGGCAATGAGGCTGTAGATCAGTGAGGAAGTAAGTGTTACGGCAAAGAGTCTGTAGATCAGTGAGGAAGTAAGTGTTACGGCATTGAGGCTATAGATCAGTGAGGAAGTAAGTGGTACAGCAATGAGGCTATAGATCAATGAGGAAGTAAGTGGTACAGCAATGAGGCTATAGATCAGAGAGGAAGTAACGGGTACAGCAATGAGGCTATAGATCAGTGAGGAAGTAAGTGTTACGGCAACGAGGCTATAGATCAGTGAGGAAGTAAGTGTTACAGCAATGAGGCTATAGATCAGTGAGGAAGTAAGTGGTACAGCAATGAGGCTATAGATCAGTGAGGAAGTAACGGGTACAGCAATGAGGCTATAGATCAGCGAGGAAGTAAGTGTTACTGCAATGAGGCTATAGATCAGTGAGGAAGTAAGTGGTACAGCAACGAGGCTATAGATCAGTGAGGAAGTAAGGGCTACAGCAATGAGGCTATAGATCAGTGAGGAAGCAAGTGTTAAAGCAATGAGGCTATAGATCAGTGAGGAACTAAGTGGTACAGCAATGAGGCTATAGATCAGTGAGGAAGTAAGTGTTACGGGAATGAGGCTATAGATCAGTGAGGAAGTAAGGGCTACAGAAATGAGGCTATACATCAGTGAGGAAGTAAGTGTTACAGCAATTAGGCTATAGATCAGTGAGGAAGTAAGGGGTACAGCAATGAGGCTATAGATCAGTGAGGAAGTAAGCGTTATGGCAATGAGGCTATAGATCAGTGAGGAAGTAATGGGTACAGAAATGAGGCTATAGATCAGTGAGGAAGTAAGGGGTACAGCAATGAGGGTCTAGATCAGGGAGGAAGTAAGGGTTACAGCAATGAGGCCATAGATCAGTGAGGAAGTAAGTGTTACAGCAATGAGGCTATAGATCAGTGAGGAAGTAAGTGGTATAGCAATGAGGCTATAGATCAGTGAGGAAGTAAATGGTGCAGTAATGAAGCTATAGATCAGTGAGGAAGTAAGTGGTACAGCAATAGGGCTATAGATCAGTGAGGAAGTAAGTGTTACGGCAATGAGGCTATAGATCAGTGAGGAAGTAAGTGTTACGGCAATGAGGCTATAGATCAGTGAGGAAGTAAGTGGTACAGCAATGAGGCTATAGATCAGTGAGGAAGTAAGTGTTACAGCAATGAGGCTATAGATCAGTGAGGAAGTAAGTGTTACGGTAATGAGGCTATAGATCAGTGAGGAAGTAAGTGTTACGGCAATGAGGCTATAGATCAGTGAGGAAGTAAGTGGTACAGCAATGAGGCTATATATCATTGAGGAAGTAAGTGTTACAGCAATGAGGCTATAGATTTGTGAGGAAGTAAGTGTTACAGCAATGAGGCTATATATCATTGAGGAAGTAATGGGTACAGCAATGAGACTATAGATCAGGGAGGAAGTAAGGGGTAAAGAAATGAGGCTATAGATCTGTGAGGAAATGAGGGGTATATAAATGAGCCTATAGATCATTGAGGAAGTAAGGGATACGGGAATGAGGCTATAGATCTGTGAGGAAAGTAAGGGGTACAGCAATGAGGCTATAGATCAGGGAGGAAGTAAGGGGTACAGCAATGAGGCTATAGATCAGTGAGGAAGTAAGTGGTACAGCAATGAGGCTATAGATCCGTGAGGAAGAAAGGGGTACAGCAATGAGGCTATAGATCAGTGAGAAAGGAAGGTGTAGAGCAATGAGGGTCTAGATCAGTGAGGAAGTAAGGGGTACAGCAATTAGGCTATAGATCAGTGAGGAAGTAAGGGGTACAGCAATGAGCTGATAGATCAGTGAGGAAGTAAGGGGTACAGCAATGAGGCTATAGATCTGTGAGGAAGTAAGGGGCACAGCAATGAGGCTATAGATCTGTGAGGAAGTAATGTGTACAGCAATGAGGCTATAGATCTGTGAGGAAGTAAGGGGTACAGCAATGAGGCTATAGATCTGTGAGGAAGTATGGGGTAGAGCAATGAGGCTATAGATCTGTGAGGAAGTAAGGGGTACAGCAATGAGGCTATAGATCACTGAGGAATTAAATGGTACAGCAGTGAGGCTATAGTGGTGTTGGGGCTGGCAAGGGTTTGAATCCCGGTTTGATTTGCTTCCAGGTTTTTCAACGCCATACCCGTGGTCTTGGGTTTCTCCAAAGTGCTAATCGCTTCAGACATCAGGCTTTCTTCCCACGTGAAGCTCACAAGCAGTCGTTAAACATAATAAAGTTACTTTCTGACAGTCAAACATATCAATGGCCCAAAAGCAGTGGTGATGCTTGTTTTCTTACTTGATGAACGCTTTCTGAAAAATATGTTTTCTATACAATATTCTGATTATGGTTACAGTCTGTGGGTGATTCAGTGATTTGAAACGCGAAGTGATCAGCAGCCCAGACTTGTCACGTGAGCAGGTGTTTCTCACACATGTGCCGTCACGGCCACGCCTATCACACGACAAGGCACGCTCAGGTGTCTGAAACGCTTAAGTGCATAGCTTCTGTTGAGAAAAAAGTACGTGAATCACTTGCATGCATCCGTATCAGCTGACACAGCGTCCCGGCCGTATCTGTACATCAGTAGCGACACCTCCACCTCGTGGAGGAATAGGTGCGCATCGATAATCAACCCCCCACGTACTGTAGAGGAGTAACGTCGCGTCCAACATTATTGAACTTATGTAGCGACGTGCATGCACGAGTGTGTGTGTGTGTGTGTGTGGCTGTTTGTACTAGTCCGGACGAATGCCGATTTTATAGTGCTAGTCTACTGAGATACCATGCCTCAGTTAAAACATTAATACCCTACTTAGATACAGTATAATGACTCCGAACTGACCAGCCCCTTAATTTCGAGCGTCAGGCAGGATAACAACAAGCACCAGCTTTTAACGTCTTTTTGGACGCGGGCGGGGTTCGAACCCCTGACCTTTCGCTGTCCAAGCGGACGCTCTACCACTAGACCACGGAGGCGGCCCCTACAGTAGAACACATGACACGCAGTACGTCACACAGCTATACAGTTTTTTGTTATCACTGACTACACAGACATGCTATTTCTGTTATTTGATAAGAGCATATTTAGTCTCATACGTAATTTACTTATTGGTTTTGTATATATCCATCCTGTAAATACTTCAGTAATGACAGACAATAGAATCCATAAGGGTATAGAGTACTGAGATAAATGCTGTGCTATATGAACATCCAGAGTGGGAAATTATTCCTCCTGGCGACTATAATGCACGGTGTGGTAATTTGAAAGATTTTATTATCGACGACAACAACAGATTTATTACATGTTTAGACGACATGGAGTATGTATCGGACGTATTTGACGTGCCCCGCAGTAGGCGAGATGATGTGTGAAATGAATAAGGGAGGGATCTGCAGACTTTTGTTGTACGTTTTCTGTCCACATTGTAAATGGACGATTTCCTGGGGGTAAGGAAGGATCATTTACTTGTTTTAAGAAGAGTGACGCTAGTTTGGTTAATTATGTACTCTGCTCAACTAGCTTTTTTGACAACATTCCTACTTTAGCATACATACTCGCTTTGAATCAGATCACTTTCCTATCGTACTTACCCACCATGGATGTGATAGACAGGTCGATAATGTTAATGAAATGCATGTAAATAATATTCCTAGATATACATGGAGAAATGAAATATGTGATGCCTTTGAACATAGTGTTTCTGAGTCATTGTCTGCACTTGACATGGATGGGTTTATGCATTTATTGTCTTTGAATGGTGATTTAGTTGTTGAAGCTTTGACCAATGCTGCACATAATGGTTCTATTTCATGCGGATTACTTTCTAGAGATAGAAAATCAAAACGTACATCTGGAGAAAAAT